AATTTTTTATTTTTTAATTAATATTAATATTTGGGTATTGATGAGGGCATTTAAGTAATTTTAGCCTCTCACACCAGCTGCGCGCTTAAGTAAAAAATTTAAGCACCCCCTAACCAACTTTTGAGATAAGTTGAGAAATAGCTTGATTTAAACTATAAGCTGGTTAACTTAAGCTGCACCAAACACAATATTTTAGCTTAAATTAAGCTAAAAACTGAAATAAGCAGCTTATAAGTTCTACCAAACATGCCTATACATACAAATATACAACCAAGAGGACTTCATATTCCATTATACCTTGTAAGAACTAGCAGACTTCTTAGGCATTGCCTGGGAAGTGGGTTTGGGTGGGTTTGGGGCTGAAATAGTTACAAAGAACAAAATAAGATTTTTAGCCTTAACAAGACAAAACATCACATTCAACCCATAATTATTACATTTTTTCTCTCACAAAAAAGTCAAAAAAAGCCAAAAAAACCAAATGCCCTTCCCAAACCAGACTTTTTAGTCCCAGGCTAAAGTAGTCAAAAAAGCCAAAAAGCCAACCCATTTCCCCAACCAAGCCTTAGTAGCATGATTTGTCTCTACCTAGAAGTAACAATTCATAAAATTTTGGAACTATAATATGCAGCAAACAAAAGCAACTATAATGGCCTTAGCATATACATACAAATATATAGATAGATAAATGTATGTATATACAAATATGTAAACATGGGAACAATTTGTTTAACATATATATACACGCACACACATTAAAATTCAAAGAAAAACTTGATTGGATTTCCAGCAAAGAATAGAAATCCAATTTAATCAATTCAATAGATGATGAGAAAAAGGAAACTGAACAAGAAGAATGATTAACACAGAATAACTGAGAAGTCATCCAAGACTCACCTGTAATGCCCTAAAAAAAAATTGGGCATGATATATCTATTTATGCAACAAAACATACCTGATAGACACACACACTCACACACACACACACACACACACATATATATATATATATATATAGCTAACTAATCCATACACTCATTTCCTTTACATCCCAAATGCCAAATACATGTTGTTCTCATCTCAATACTCCAGTTCTAATCCCAAACATGCATTTTACAATAGATATGAAATGGAAGCCAAACAGATAATAAGCGCCCTACAGGCTTACAAATTTATCCAAGAACATTCTTGGTTACACAAAATAGAGTTTCAACTCAACACAAATATAGCTGTTGGCTTACAAAACAGAGTCACGCAAAATGAGAGCATTGTACTCCCAACACACATACTTCCACACCCCTAGTTGGGCAGAATCACCACATCTTTTCCTGTATAAAAATCCTGTAGGGTGAGCATAAAGCCCAGTAGAAAAATCCTTCACAAAATATATACATTTTATACAAGTCTCAAGAGATGAAATGCACATGCCATGCTATGCCCTTTTTGAAGATAAATTACATTTTTATCTTTTGAAAACCATCATGCTCAATGATATCATGCAATTTCAGTTGTTCAAAATCTAACAATTTATTTCAAGAGCGGTAAATACATCTCTAGTAATCCCTAGGCTGGTGTCTGCAAATAGACTATACAAGTACTATCAAATTGTCCTTTTTACCGGTATTAACCGAAAGGCTCGACACCTATCCGCGCGAATTTTTCGGTCTTTCACCCTGGACCCACATGCCAACTTATTCTACACCACCTATCAAGACTTACCATCATATTTACCCCAAACCATTTCATGAAAACTTATTTCTTAACATTCTTTTCTCAATGCAAGTTTTCAAATCAACCTTCAAAGTTTAATGTAATGAAATGAAATAATATGGCAATTTCACAAATGAGCACAATTACTTTTATTCCAATTCATCAAACGCACAGTTAACATAATTTCCTCTTCTCGAGTATTCTGAACAATTTAGTCATTTCAAGACTATATCAATATTATGAAATAACCATTTCTAAAATAAACAACAATTCTCATAATCCACAAAATTAATTATTTATACAAATATAAATAAGAAATTTTCTAAACATTATTTATTTTGGCACGCAAAATTAAATATAACAATCATAGTTTTATGTTAATTTTGCCAACTCTGATCTAGAATTAAATATTATCTCATGATATTTGTTGGGATAAGTATATTTGAAATGATGAAATTTGAGAAAAAAGATAAAGTACAATTTTTTTTTTAATTTTTATAATTATTGTTGTACAACTATAATCTTTATTATCAAATATTTCAAATTCAAGTAACTATTTTCATCATTATTATTTCTAATTCTTCATAATCTATTACGATAAAACCTACCAATTCAATCTTAAATTCACATTTCAACTGTGTTTTAAGTAAATTTGAGTTTTCTCTTT